TGAGAAATTTTGATCCAAGAAAAATAAAAATTGAAATCTATATATATATATATATATACAAAAACATTTTATAAAAATTAAATTGGTAATCGTTCTCAGTTTACCGAATGTATTGTGCGTTAACCTTAGGAAGTGTGAATTGGAAAATATTGTGTGCTGACCTTTATTCGTTTTCACGACACGCGCACTCGCCATTGTTCATGGTGTACAAACGGCTCGATCAGGTGAAACGCATTGACGAATATAACACAGCCACACAAAAAAAAAGTACCCGGGCCGGGGAATGAGACCACCATTTCTTGATGTATTTTGATGCGCTGAACACGAATCTGAAGTCCGTTTAGCTCCATCACGTCAGGATTTTGACATAACCTCAAAAAACATAGCTGATTTTAAATGACAGGAGAAATTTTTTAAATAATGGCAGATTTGTTTGAATCTTGTTACTCGGGGGTTTTTGGGGTCGCTGATTACGAATTTAACGTCAGATTTATAAAATTCAAAATGGCGGATTCAATATGGCGGACGAATTTTTAAAAAGTAGTTGGATTTTTACGAAAATTGGTATCTAGGGGTTTTGGGAGTCGCTGATTACAAATTTATCGTCAGATTATTCAAATTCAAAATGGCGGATCCAATATGGCGGACGAGTTTTTAAAAAATAGTTGAATTTTTATGTAACTTGGCCGATACTGGGGTTCCGAGTCCCTGCATCGTAATATGTTTCCTACGTGTGTCTGCCATGACGGCATCAAAGCCATTATCCAGGGACTTAGCCGGATAGCGGACAAACTCCGTTGTCCACCGTCACCGCGTGGAGGTACCCTGGATGCAGACACATGTAGAAACATAAAGATATTTGACCACCGTACTATATCTGCCATTTTACATTTGAATAATCTGACGTTAAATTCGTAATCAGCGACTCCAAAAAACCCCATGATACCAATTTTTGTAAAAATCCAACTACTTTTTAAAAATTTGTCCGCCATATTGGATCCGCCATTTTGAATTTGAATAATCTGACGATAAATTTGTAATCAGCGACTCCCAAAACCCCTAGATACCAATTTTCGTAAAAATCCAACTACTTTTTAAAAATTCGTCCGCCATATTGGATCCGCCATTTTGAATTTATTAAATCTGACGTTAAATTCGTAATCAGCGACCCCAAAAACCCCCGAGTAACAAGATTCAAGCAAATCTGCCATTATTTAAAAAATTTTTCCTGTCATATAAAATCAGCTATGTTTTTTGAGGTTATGTCAAAATCCTGACGTGATGGAGCTAAACGGACTTCAGATTCGTGTTCAGCGTATCAAAATACATCAAGAAATGATGGTCTCATTTCCCGGCCCGGGTACTTTTTTTTTGTGTGGCTGTGTAATTGATTGTATCCTTGCAGTGAATGTTTTTGGCCTCGTGGTGGAGTAAAGGCGATTAATATAAGTGCACTAAATATCAAATATAAAAATCCAAATATATCATAAATATCAAACAGTACGGAAACATTCGGTAAGTCCTTCTACTATATATATTCAATATTCATATCTTTTTCTACGCTGAGAAAAATAGATATTTAAAATCAGATATTAACGCTTAATATGTAGATATTAACAATTAAAATCTACTATCTTTTTGCGTAATTAACCGTTAACTATGTCATAGAAGAGATTCGACTTCCAAAATTTAAGGTTAGGTTTCATTTTTCCTGTCATTTTGAAATTTCTAATTTTAATATCTTCAGATATTAAGTTTTAATATCTAGATGGCTGTCCCTGTGTGAAAAGATAAATGTGTTAACCTTTAATATCTAGTATCAGCGGAAATATCCAGTTTTCTCATTGATAATTATAGTAATAAAATGTGACTTGTGCGATTGATTTCGGCTTTTATACAGTGCAAAAACTATAATTGAATTATATTTATTCTTTGTCTATTTTGTTTGTTTATTGCAAAAAATAAAGTGATTAATTGTTTCGCCTACCACGATAAAAAAGTTTGCCATGTCAGTTCTTCCTTAACAAGGTAGATAATTTATTTATATTGTTTTTCGTGACAGGTAAATAAATTATAACTTTTATTTCGCTCACAAACATGCGAAATAGGCGCGGCGAATCTTATTATAAAAAATGCACAATAAAAAATATCGGTAAAATGTAAGAAAACAAAAAAGATTTTTAAACAATTAAGTTTACATTATTTTTTAAACAGTGTTTGGTCTTGAGAAGTTTCTTTCTTTTATACATTTTTTTCACCCATTGGAGACGCAACCTAAATAAATAATTTTTTAGAAATGAAAACTAACGCAAAACATGTTTCTTGTAATGGCTGAAATAATTTGTTATTTTTTTCTGGTTACTTCATGTACAAAACATAATTTTTTACTATTTGTACAAAACAAAATTGGTTGATTGTTCTATCCTCTACACTTAAATTTCGTACATAAATTGGCGATATTAGGCGCAGCGATTTATTTATTGATTCTTTAAATTATAAAACAGGATATAAATGAAAAATTTAATTTTTAATGTTTTAAAAAATTTATTTTTCTGTTAGATTTCTTATTAGAATTTTTAGAAGTTGAAGATTTCAAAATTTTTTCTAACATATAAATTTATTTAATTATTTCTCTCAATACTTTTCAATTAGTTGATAACTTTTTCCAAAATATAATTTTTTTCGCAGTTTTATAACTCTATTCTTGATTTTTTTTTAAATCCTCAATTTAATTGAACATGTTAATTTTTTAATTACAGTTTTTACATAAAATGTTATGCATCTCTTTGTCTTAAATTTTATAACTTTATTATAATTTTTAATAGATTTAAAAGTGAAAACTTAGTTTTCAATCTATGGTCTCAATTATTACCCTGAAACATTCAGAAATTTGTTCACGAGCCAATTAAAAGTAATTCTCAATCCAAAGCAATTTAAAAAAACATTTCAATTTGAAGACTTGGTTACATTTAAATCATTTTTTTTCAATTAACCCCCTATTAAAACTATTATGTTATATGGCTTATAAAACCATTCGAATGAATCTAAATTGACCAAATAATAGTGGTGTTTGCCAGCTGGAAAACTGGTAAATAGCCGTGAATTCAATTAACCTAAGAAACCATGAATTAGCTAAGAATTTCACTTTGCAAACAAGTTCAAAAATATAAACTTTAAATAATAGTCGATTTTTTAATTTTAAAGAATTTCTCGTAAAATACTAAATGGATTGAACTGAAGTTTTGTACACAAATCTAAAATATAATAAAGACAGTGATATGTAAAAGTGTTTTATTTTGACGAATTAATTAGCACAAAGTACTTGAACCAAGTATTTTATAATAATTCATTTATAAAAATATCAACACTTTCATCAATCGCAGCTCTTCTTCATATTATTTTAGACTTCACAAAATTTCAGCTCAATCTATTTGTGAGAAAAATGATCGATAAATTATGACAGTCACCTGACCTAAAAATCAGATGCTGCTAATAATATTAATTAAAATGATAATATTACTAACGTTAAGGTAAGCGAAAAATAACTGGAAATTCGCTTCACCGAAAACAGTAGATACTATAATAGTTTAGTTTGTAAATTATCTACTGAAAACGTGTAAGAAAAAAGTAATATTTTTTGTTAACAAAGAGAAGGTGCCGTTAAGTAAAAAAATTAAGTTGTCATAGAAAGTAGCATTTTGTCAATTTATTTCAATATTCCACATCCCAGTACTACATCTTTTTGCACATATATCTATAATTGATCCTACAAGGTTTTTGTGCAGAAAAGATACAAAATATCTGTATAGAATCCTATATAGGTATTTATAAAGAATCTTTAAAGTATCACATTTAAGAAAAAGAAAGCAAAAAATTACAAGAAAAAACGGAGCGATATTTAACTTTTTTTTTTATTTTAATAATTATTTCTCTTAAGAAAAGAATGTTTTATTATTGAAAATTCATACATTGAAGTGACTTGAAAGAATTTTGTAGTAACAAAATATTTCAAAACATTTCAGTAGTGCTTTGCGATGGACGAGATTTCTCAAAAACGATTTTTCCGATCGGTCTCAAATGTACAGGGCTTACTCTACATATGAATGACTAAGTAGTTCTTAAACGAAAGATTTTTTGAAGTTTAAATTTTTAACAAAATGGCAGCAGTTTATTTGAAAAAATAACGTTCTACGACGTTAAAATTTTGCTTTTCCATTATTAGAAGTAAAAGTTTTTATCTAAATAAAAAATCCATCGTTCACGAACTATATGTCAAACTTATATGTGAAATAAGCCCTGTAAATTTGAAACCGATCGTTAAAGCTAATTTTGAGAAATCTTGTCCACTACAAAACACCTCAAAAAATCGACCTTTTCAAAAAACTGGTACTATTAAAATGCTTTAATATATTTTCTGACTACAAAATTCTTTTAATTCACTGCAAATTATGTATCTTTAAATAAAATATTCCGTTTTTTAAAAACAAATTATTAAAATGAAAAAAAATGTTCAAATATCATTCTGTTTTTTCTTGAAACAAATAGATATAACTAGGGTGTGCAAAAAGCCCGAAAAGTTGGGTAGGCTCAGGCTGATTTTTTTCGGGTCGGGTTGGGCTTTCTCGATGTATCAGGTACCCGAACGCTTTCGGGTTCTCGAAAATTTCAGGTAAGGGGTCGTTCATAAACTACGTCACGCTATTTTGCACTTTTTTCTATCCCCCCCCTCCAAGAAACCCGAATTCACTCGGGTACCCGGAATTTTCGGATACCCGAAAATTACGAGAACCCGAACGCATTCGGGTACCCGAAAAATTTCGAGCTTGTGAACCCGAACCCGACCCGAGCCCGAATTGACAAGAATTGTCAAGGCACCCTTACATATAGTTTTAGTAGTACATTGAGTTCACGTAGCTTTCATTCCCAAAATACTTGCGTAATGTCAATGCTTTATTTTTCTTAGAATACCAACCTCACTTGACCAAAGGATAAGAGGCACCATGAATAAAAACAAAAACAAAGAATTTATGGCTCTCAGCCAAAGTCAAAAGAGAAGACGTTTAGATATAACGAGAGCTAGCATAGAAGATCATCAGGATGAAAATAATGAATCATTTCAAGTTCAAGCGACTGGTTCCTATGAAAATAACGAAACACAAAACATAGAAATGTCTGATGAAGAAGGAATTTCTTCTGGTCAAGGAAGTAGTGATGATGAAGGAAGAGAAGAAGAAGAAGATGAAGAAGAGGAGGAGGAGGAGGAAGAATTTTTGCTAGAACCTATGGATAACAGAGAAACAAGTTCTGAAGAGAATGATGTTGCCAATCCACCACCACCACCACCACCTGTGCACGTAAATGATGCCATGAAATAGTCTCTCAAGAATGCTTTTCTACAAAGCAATTTGAAGCATACCCAAATTAATCAAATGCTCCAAACTTTAAGAGGATTCCCGTTCGATTTACAGTTTCTGCCTAAAGATGCTAGAACAATTTTACGCACTCCAACTACTATTGCCAATGGAGTAATTCAACGTATGACAGGAGGCGAATATTTACACGTTGGCTTCAAATTGACTTTAAAAAAAAAACTAAATCAAATTCCTGTAGATATACTACCTGAAATAATTGTAATAGACTTTAGTACTGATGGGGCTAAAGTCAATAAAAGTTCGAAACAATTTTGGCCAATTCAGTATAGAATACTAAATATCGGAGATAAAAGACCATTAATAGCTGGCATTTTCCTTGGAGACAATAAGCCATTAAACATATTTGAATTTTTTGAACAATTTGTTGAAGAAGTCATTTCTGTACGTGACACTGGCATTATCATTCAAGGCAGAAGGATTTTTTTGACAATACATTGCTTCATCGCAGATGCACCAGCAAGGGCTCTTACTTTAAATCATAATGGGCATAATTCAAGCAAACCTTGCTCTAAATGCATAGTTGAAGGTCACCATTACATGAATCGAGAGGTTTTCCATGGAATAGGAAATGAATTACGTACCGATGCAAGTTATCGCAACTTGACAGACGAAGACCATCATTTGGGAGCAACCCCCCTAGTTGATTTATTGGATTTAGTAAGACAAGTACCATTTGAAGCAATGCATCTTTTGTGGCTGGGAAATGTGAAGAAAGAAATTTCGGCAAACGTAGTTGGAAAATTTAATGTTCGAAGAATGTCTGCCAGAAAGTTGGCAATTGTTGACTCCCGAATGGAACAGCTTTCGATGTACTGTCCTACTGATTTCAACCGTCGACCAAAGAAAATGAGTGCTTTTCATACTTTCAAAGCCACAGAATATCGTCAAATAGCTCTGTATACGGCTCCAGCTATATTCGAAAACGTCTTCGAAGATGATTCTTATCAACATTTCCTATTGTTGCACGTTGTTTGTCGCTTTCTAGTTTCGAAAGAAACATCTCCAGAAACTCTATTGTTTTGTAAGGAATCTTTGGAAACTTACGTCACTTTGTGTGAAGAAATTTATGGATTGCACTACTTGTCGTATAATGTGCATGGTTTACTTCATATTGTAACAGATGTAGAAAATCTCGGAGACTTAGAGTCATTTAGCGCCTTTGATTACGAAAACAATATGCCAGAATTTCGTAAAATGATTCGTAAACCATACCTTATTCTGCAACAGTATTACAAAAGAACGAAAGAATTAAATGACTTCAATCTTACGCCTCCTGTTCACGACAGACAAATACGTGCATCATTATCTCATACAGAAGGACCGGTTCCTGAAAATATTCCCCTTAACATATGTGAACAATTTCAAAAGTTGCAAAATTGGGGAACTCACATTTGCTACGAATTTGCGTGACAGCTGTTGCATTCTTCGAGATACAAGAATAGGGATAGTAAGGAACATTTTAAAAGTAGGAGAAGAAATTTTCTTCATTTTTGAAGCATTCCAAAGAAAAGAATCACTCTACCATATTGGAGTCACATCAGATGTTGTTGGTGTACATCATTGTTTGGATTTGTCAAATGTAGTTGAAGCTGTAACTTTAAATAACGTTAAGGGCAAGTGCTATCGAATGCCATATTGGAGCCATGTTGAAGGACAAGAAGAGCAGCCGTTAGAAAATCAGTTGATATGTTGTACATTGCTCAACCGAGATGAAATGCCTCAAAATTAAACTGGTTTTTTTCTGAAATCGATTGTTCATGTATTTATATGTAAGTTAATGTTTGGAATAAAACTGGTACTTGTGTGGCTTGCATGGATGTACTTTTTGTTCATAATTTAATTTTATTAACAATAACTTTTGCACATGTGTCTTGTATATTAAGCTTTTATATTCAATAAATTTTGCCAGTTTAAAATTTAAAGTTTGAATAACATACCTTTTTAAGGGTCCTGCCTCACACAAAGAAATTTTTTTAAAAATCTTTTACTATTAAATTTCATTTTAAACTTTCGTATGTCTTTGTTTTTTTTCAATTTTTTCTTGAAAGTTCTAAGTGTCCATTCTGATTAATCGACGGTTAAATTGAGGCACTTCATTTTTCTGGTGGGCACGATATCTCGAAACTGCTTCGTTTAAAATCAAAAAACGAAACAGATTCTTAAATTGTAGATCAATCGTATTGCCTGAACTAAGATTTTAGCAATCGATTGAAAAATATAGGTAAATATTGAGGAAAAATAAAAATCCTAGTTCAGTAGATAGCGATTGATTTATATTTTAAAAGTCTGTTTCATTTTTGCTTCCTCCGTAGAGGAAGTATTGTTTTACCCCAAAATTCCGGATTGTGATTTTTTGACATATTTTGATATAATTTGACCCCAGGAGTCCAAAAATGATGTTTTTAAAAAATGTCCGTGTGTATGTATGTGTGTGTGTGTGTGTGTGTGTGTGTTAACATTACATTTTCATAAATATCTCAAAGCCCTTCAGAGCTATTGTTATGAATTTTTTTTTAAATTGAAGATCTCATTGGCGGACAAATAGTGAGAGTACTTTTACCCAAATTAATTGAGATTAACTAATTTTTTTTTTGCATTTTAAAATTTTTAAAAAAACGTTTTCTGGCCATAACTTTAAAAAATTGTTCTGACACCTATAGATGTTTCTCTTTCATTTTGTTGAGTTTTTCAAGACGCATCTTTTGATCTATCGGCGAACCTTCTAGCGTCATTTTATCCAGAGTTATTAACGTTTTAAAAACCTAAAATTTTGAAAAACATGACATTTTTGACATTTTTATTTTAAAATTTTAGTGTAATATCTAAATTATCATAATCTGCTTATAGTTCATTTAAAACCGCGTCGATTGACCTATTTTTGAACTTCTTTCTATCAAATATAACAAAGTTATTGATGTTTCAAAAATAAGAAATTTTGAAAAACATGCCTGTTTTTACCATTTTTTAAAAAAATCTTTACATAATTTCTAAATTATTATTACAGGCTTGTACAGCATTTAAAAGTGCAGCGCTTGACCCATATTTGAACTCTTTCCTGTCAAATATAACAAAATTATTGACGTTTTAAAAATCAAACATTTTTTTAAAACTTGTATTTATGGAAAATTATTTATAGTTAAAATTCTTTACGTAAATTCTAAGCTATTGTTACAAAGTTTTAGACGTTTGTAAAGAAGAAATTTTGATCTATTTGCGAACTCACTAAGATATAAAATTAAGAAAATTTATTGGCTTATTGTAAATTAAAAATTTTTGAAAAACTTGAAGTTAGAAATTAAGTAATCTCTAGGAGGAAGTAATGTGTTCATAATGAACACAAAAGTTACTCACTTTAAATGAACACTACAGTACAACTTGTTTTATATTGTATTTTTTTATATTATATTATATTATTTTATATTATTTTATATTATAATAGATTATATTATATTATATATTGTGAGAGCTGTAAGGATGATTTACACTCGATTGTGTGCAGAAAAGTATTCCCTTTCACTATTTTAAAATGAAAAACGCGCACACACACCTCTTTGATGATCATCATCGTCATCATCTTGAGGGGGAAAAAGAGCCAAAGAGCCAAATGGTTATCCGCTTGATTAATCCGTTATCCAATAGTAACTAAACCACTCGTCATATATATTGAGTGAAACTCGTTAGCTCGCGCGTATTTTAATTGTAAACGAAGCAGTTTCAAGATATCGTGTACACCAGAAAAATAAAGTGCTCCAATTTATCCGTCGATTTCTCAAAATGGGACCTTAGAATTTTGATAAAAAAAATTTTTTACTATAATTTAAGCTGTATTCTTTGGTATACAAAGACAAACGAAAGTTTAAAATAAAATGTAATAGAAGAAAAAAGATTTTTAAGAAAAGCTCGTTTGCATGATACAAACCCCTTAATTGCTCATTCCAAAAATAAAATTTCAGATCTTTAAAATTGGATGCCATGAACTTGATTATGCAACCCCAAATAGCACCGAAAATTTACTGAACATTTACAAAACTTTAATTACAAACTTTGGAGTGTTGAGTTGCGAAGTTTAGTAAAGGTTGTATGAATATTAAAATATCCAACCTGATTAAATGTTTAGTGCGAAAGTTTACTGAACATTTAAATTACAACTTTGTTAAATGTTCATTTAACAAAGCTTCAATTTAAATATGACTGAATGTTGACTGAACATTTGATCAGGGCGGGCAGTTTAATATTTAAATGACCATTACTAAACTTCGCAACTCAACATTCCAAAGATTGTAATCATAGTTTTGTAAATGTTCAGTAAATTTTCGATGCTAAATGAGACTCTTTACCATTGAGTGGATCTCACATCTTGTTTTCCTATACTTCTCACATTAAATATTAAAGGGTTGGTTGTGTTGCTTTAATATAATTTAAAACATGGCCCATTTTAATTCTTTTTAAATCATTATGCAGACCATGGCAAGTAGCAGCGAAACGAAAAAACACAAAATGTTTTCTAAAAATCAAGTAAGAATATCCAGTAAAGGAAGAAGCATAAAAACTCCAAAGAACGTATTAACCACTTCTGACGAAGAACCACCTATAAAAAAGATAAAACCATCTTCGATAAGTGAAAAAATGAACAAATTAAAAGTTCTAGCAGAACAATTAGAGTTGAAAAAAGCAACAACTTTGTAAGTAAAATTTAATTTATTTTATTAAGCATAAATACAAAATAACACGTTTTGTGAAGATAAAATAGTCACCGCTACGAAATCTGAGCATTTCGTTTTTATTTTACCTGTTTTATTAACATTGTGCCACTGACCTGCAACGAAAAAGCAGTCATTTTAAAATTGTTGAATAATATTATTGAATATCAATCTGTTAAATATTTAAAATTTTCTTCTAACTTACTTGCTTTTTTTCGTATTTGTTCATCCATTCGCTGTTTCTAATCTTTTTTTAACTTACTGCTTTCGTTTATTCGTGTAGTATTCTACTTAATTTGTTAATGACATGTGAAAAAAGAATAACATATCAATAATTTATTTGATTCATAAATGTTACTTACTTTTATTCCGTGCGTTGCTTCATTCACGGTCTACCTACAAAAGATAGATACTTATAAATATTTCAATTAAAAATTTCTTTTTAACTGACAGGCACCCGCGTGCCGGCAGGCTGCACACCCTTGATGTCGACATTATTCGAACGTATTAAAATATAATTCTTTTAAATGAAAATAGGTAAAATGAGAAAAAAACAATATTTATTATCTGTAATCAAAAGAATTTATTTCTTTTTCAAAGAAAGTTTCAAAAAAAAATAAGAAAAACGATTTTTTTAAAAAATTAAAGTAGCAAATAATTTCATAAATTCTGATAAAATACATACTTTATATACATGAATCGATTCGTTTTCCTGCAAGGAATACAATTTTCACAAAAATTTCTCAAAATTTTAATCCAGAAAGAATTTATTTTTAAAAATATGAAAAATGATTTTTTTCAAAAATTAAAAAAAATTATTTAATCTCTAGATTTAGGTAAAATATGGACTTTTTATAAGTTAATCGATTCGTTTCAATGCAAGGAATACGTTTTTCAGTAAAAAAAAGTGATTGCACAAAAAAAAAAATTTTTTTTCAAAAAAATTTATTTTTTGATTTTTGAAAAAAAGGCATAAAAAAAATTGCATGGATATTTTTGGAAATCAATCAATTCTGAATTTGAAACGGATTTGCTGAATTATTCTTTTTTAGTGGGATGATTACATTTATTAAGAAGAAAACCAATAACACTTAAATAAACATATTAATAAACGTCGCAAAGTTAAAAACAGGAATGTTATATGTAAACTTAGAATATAATATCGCTAGATTACTCCGTTCAACAGATTAACAGCGAAAATGGACCATTAACCGTCTCGATGCTAAAAGTAAGGTACACGTAAAGTAAGGTATAAAATACACGAATTGCAAATAACATTAATCTGAATTCAAATCAACAGTGAACATAAATTTAAAAAATATTTTAAAAACTAATTTCGAATATCATTGGTATGTTACTTTTTTCACAGGACAGTAACAAACGGTTTATACAATAATGGCCAAGATAAGTTTCAGCGAAACGAATAAATGAATATCAAGAAGAAACGTGAATTTAAGAAATAGGTAATTAACGTGTGACTTCTGAACAATAGTGATTCGTTATTTTTTAAAGCCCAACAACGAATAAATCACACAAATGACGAAGGAACAAGTAAGTTTTAAAAAACTGGAATAAAATTCAATAGCAACGTAAATTTAAAAATAGTTAACTCAATTTTTAAATAAAATATTGATAATTTTTTTGACACAACAATTTCGAATAGAGAATTCAACAACTTTTAATAAGTAAGAAAAAAGCATCAGTTCTTAGGATTAATTAAAAATTTCGTCTTCCGCATCTGATGTCGAGCTGAGTTCCAGATCTGATGCCAAATATTCTTCTACATCTTCCACATCGCCTTCAAAACCGCTCGAGTTATGTTCTGATTCCAAGAGAGCAGATATGTTAGCAATTGCTTCATCCACCTTTCTTTCAATGTTGCCGCCCTCTTCGCCCATGTTTTTTTTAACTTTTTGCGATACCTTTGCTTGGTGGCTTTAAATATTAATAAAATTGCTCCTTTATATGCTGTCTTATTTTCAGGTCCGGCGAATAAAGGACAGTTAACGGCAGCTCCTAGAACATAGGTATATATTTCATTGGTATCTACGAAAGAAATAGAGGAAGGGCGAAGTCACATGTCGGCGGAAAGCGTAAGCAAAGTGAGTGAACGACGCCAACACATCTCATTACCACTTTCGTTCATGCTTTTTGATTTTATATAAAAAGAAGATAAAAACTCGGAAGAAGCTAAAATTACTTACTTTAGAAATTCGATAATTTTTAAAAAAAATTTATTTTTTCGCAAGAATATTTTTTTGGTAATTTATTCATGAAAATTAATCTGAAGAACAAATTTGATTTTTTTAGGTAAGAAAAGTCAAATACAAGAATCACTTTTTTTGAAAATGTACATTTTTTAAAAGAAAACATATTAAAATCAATTTCTATTAGATTCACTCTATTTTTATTACAATTTATTTGAAAAAGTACATCAAAATACTAATTTTTGTCTCTTTTCATCAAAAACTACAGACAAATTTTTTCGGCAATTTATTATTATTTAAAAAAGAAAAAAATTCATTCAAATTAACCGCAACCAAGGCCCTTATAATTTTATTAGAATTCATCAACTCATTAAAGTACACCACAATACCAAATTGTAGCTCTTTCGGTCGAACATTGTGAAATTAAAGGAGTGACTACGTTCTTGTAAATTTTCATTTTTCGAAAAAAATTATCGAAAAAAATCAATTTTAATTAGATTTGCTATATTTTTTATTATCTTGTGAATCAGACAGATGAGCAATGTAGCAAAAATTTTTATTTCAATTTCTTCCACATGTAAAGTAGAAATTGAAATATTTAAGAACCTACGATAGAAAACATTGGAAACTCTCGTGTCGCCAAATTTTTCTGTGTCTTTCTGCTTGTGCCAGGTATATTTTAGGACGAGGTTGTCAGTCATTACTTGCTTGATGGCCATACCAAGGAATTCTCTTAAGGTCAAACCGCCTAACCGAACTTAATGGTCATGCTAAACATTTTTATATAACAAATTATCAAACGAAAGTTGTTATTTAAAAAATTTAAAAATTCAGTACAAAGACTTACCACAGTTTGGCGTTCTTGTTTATTTGCTTCATCGTCTAAATGACGGAACTGCTCAATAGAGTCAATCGGATAGCCGTCTAAGTTTTGATACAGTCTATTAGCGAGTTGATCTGTACTATAACGTGCCCTCAAAATTTGAAGAATTTCATTATTTTGATCGCAAATTTTATCCACTTTTGTTTCGATGGTTCTGTTTAATAAAGAACATTAATACTAATTTTCAAAGTCAATCAAAATGATTAACTAAAATAAAATATTTATATGATTTCCTGTAAATTATTTTTGAAATTTATACTCACTCTAATCTTTTCTGAATTTCTCCAGAATCAGCACAAGCTTCAGGAGGAAAATTTATAACTGGTATATCCAAAAAAGTTTCAGTTCTGCTGCTATTGTTTAAAAAATTGGCATTTATCAATGAATTTTTTTCCAAACCCTTTCCATACAATTCCTTAGAAGCAGGAGAATCTGTGCCATGCGACTGACAATGAGTCAGTGTTGATTTTTCTGATCTGGTACCAACACTTGGGTCAACATTGATTGCATAATGTTCTTCTTTAGACCTTTAAAATATGAAATTTATTTTTAGACTAAAATCGACAAGTTTCGAATAAAACATAATTTTTTCTGTTTTTATATGACAAATAAAGCAGCAGAAGGTGCAAAGATAAAAAAAAGAAATTCACTTACGAATTAATTATTTTTTTCTGATTTGATTGGTTTGAGAAAGTTTCAGATTCATTCGACTGTAATATAATGGCAGAACTGGATTCACTGCCCAAGGCAGCTGCAGCCGCAGATTTATCTTTTTGAGACCTTCAAAATATAAAATTTATTTACATAGAGTGGTAAAACCAAAAAATTTAATTTGAGGTTAATATTCGGTAAGTAATGGCAAGCTTGGAGTAAAATATTCATAGCTTTTTTGGTTTTATAGATTGATGACAAATGGAGTAGCACGAGACGCAAAGACAAAAAAAGGTAAGTTCACTTACGACTTAGTTATCATTTTCTTATTTGATTGGTCTGAGAAACTTTCAAATTCTTCCAACTGTGAGGTATGGTCAGAACTGGTTTTACTATTCGAGCCCAAACCAGCCGTAGATTCCTTCCCTTTAGGCCTTAAAACATATTTTAAAAAATTATTTCCGGTCAATTAATAAGGTAAGTTGATAAACACAGGATGTGAGGACAAAAAAGTGGTAAGTTAAAAAGAAATTTTTAATTGAAATATTTATAAGTATCTATCTTTTGTAGGTAGACCGTGAATGAAGCAACGCACGGAATAAAAGTAAGTAACATTTATGAATCAAATAAATTATTGATATGTTATTCTTTTTTCACATGTCATTAACAAATTAAGTAGAATACTACACGAATAAACGAAAGCAGTAAGTTAAAAAAAGATTAGAAACAGCGAATGGATGAACAAATACGAAAAAAAGCAAGTAAGTTAGAAGAAAATTTTAAATATTTAACAGATTGATATTCAATAATATTATTCAACAATTTTAAAATGACTGCTTTTTCGTTGCAGGTCAGTGGCACAATGTTAATAAAACAGGTAAAATAAAAACGAAATGCTCAGATTTCGTAGCGGTGACTATTTTATCTTCACAAAACGTGTTATTTTGTATTTATGCTTAATAAAATAAATTAAATTTTACTTACAAAGTTGTTGCTTTTTTCAACTCTAATTGTTCTGCTAGAACTTTTAATTTGTTCATTTTTTCACTTATCGAAGATGGTTTTATCTTTTTTATAGGTGGTTCTTCGTCAGAAGTGGTTAATACGTTCTTTGGAGTTTTTATGCTTCTTCCTTTACTGGATATTCTTACTTGATTTTTAGAAAACATTTTGTGTTTTTTCGTTTCGCTGCTACTTGCCATGGTCTGCATAATGATTTAAAAAGAATTAAAATGGGCCATGTTTTAAATTATATTAAAGCAACACAACCAACCCTTTAATATTTAATGTGAGAAGTATAGGAAAACAAGATGTGAGATCCACTCAATGGTAAAGAGTCTCATTTAGCATCGAAAATTTACTGAACATTTACAAAACTATGATTACAATCTTTGGAATGTTGAGTTGCGAAGTTTAGTAATGGTCATTTAAATATTAAACTGCCCGCCCTGATCAAATGTTCAGTCAACATTCAGTCATATTTAAATTGAAGCTTTGTTAAATGAACATTTAACAAAGTTGTAATTTAAATGTTCAGTAAACTTTCGCACTAAACATTTAATCAGGTTGGATATTTTAATATTCATACAACCTTTACTAAACTTCGCAACTCAACACTCCAAAGTTTGTAATTAAAGTTTTGTAAATGTTCAGTAAATTTTCGGTGCTATTTGGGGTTGCATAATCAAGTTCATGGCATCCAATTTTAAAGATCTGAAATTTTATTTTTGGAATGAGCAATTAAGGGGTTTGTATCATGCAAACGAGCTTTTCTTAAAAATCTTTTTTCTTCTATTACATTTTATTTTAAACTTTCGTTTGTCTTTGTATACCAAAGAATACAGCTTAAATTATAGTAAAAAATTTTTTTTATCAAAATTCTAAGGTCCCATTTTGAGAAATCGACGGATAAATTGGAGCACTTTATTTTTCTGGTGTACACGATATCTTGAAACTGCTTCGTTTACAATTAAAATACGCGCGAGCTAACGAGTTTCACTCAATATATATGACGAGTGGTTTAGTTACTATTGGATAACGGATTAATCAAGCGGATAACCATTTGGCTCTTTGGCTCTTTTTCCCCCTCAAGATGATGACGATGATGATCATCAAAGAGGTGTGTGTGCGCGTTTTTCATTTTAAAATAGTGAAAGGGAATACTTTTCTGCACACAATCGAGTGTAAATCATCCTTACAGCTCTCACAATATATAATATAATATAATCTATTATAATATAAAATAATATAAAATAATATAATATAATATAAAAAAATACAATATAAAACAAGTTGTACTGTAGTGTTCATTTAAAGTGAGTAACTTTTGTGTTCATTATGAACACATTGCTTCCTCCTAGAGATTACTTAATTTCTAACTTCAAGTTTTTCAAAAATTTTTAATTTACAATAAGCCAATAAATTTTCTTAATTTTATATCTTAGTGAGTTCGCAAATAGATCAAAATTTCTTCTTTACAAACGTCTAAAACTTTGTAACAATAGCTTAGAATTTACGTAAAGAATTTTAACTATAAATAATTTTCCATAAATACAAGTTTTAAAAAAATGTTTGATTTTTAAAACGTCAATAATTTTGTTATATTTGACAGGAAAGAGTTCAAATATGGGTCAAGCGCTGCACTTTTAAATGCTGTACAAGCCTGTAATAATAATTTAGAAATTATGTAAAGATTTTTTTAAAAAATGGTAAAAACAGGCATGTTTTTCAAAATTTCTTATTTTTGAAACATCAATAACTTTGTTATATTTGATAGAAAGAAGTTCAAAAATAGGTCAATCGACGCGGTTTTAAATGAACTATAAGCAGATTATGATAATTTAGATATTACACTAAAATTTTAAAATAAAAATGTCAAAAATGTCATGTTTTTCAAAATTTTAGGTTTTTAAAACGTTAATAACTCTGGATAAAATGACGCTAGAAGGTTCGCCGATAGATCAAAAGATGCGTCTTGAAAAACTCAACAAAATGAAAGAGAAACATCTATAGGTGTCAGAACAATTTTTTAAAGTTATGGCCAGAAAACGTTTTTTTAAAAATTTTAAAATGCAAAAAAAAAATTAGTTAATCTCAATTAATTTGGGTAAAAGTACTCTCACTATTTGTCCGCCAATGAGATCTTCAATTTAAAAAAAAATTCATAACAATAGCTCTGAAGGGCTTTGAGATATTTATGAAAATGTAATGTTAACACACACACACACACACACACACACATACATACACACGGACATTTTTTAAAAACATCATTTTTGGACTCCTGGGGTCAAATTATATCAAAATATGTCAAAAAATCACAATCCGGAATTTTGGGGTAAAACAATACTTCCTCTACGGAGGAAGCAAAAATGAAACAGACTTTTAAAATATAAATCAATCGCTATCTACTGAACTAGGATTTTTATTTTTCCTCAATATTTACCTATATTTTTCAATCGATTGCTAAAATCTTAGTTCAGGCAATACGATTGATCTACAATTTAAGAATCTGTTTCGTTTTTTGATTTTAAACGAAGCAGTTTCGAGATATCGTGCCCACCAGAAAAATGAAGTGCCTCAATTTAACCGTCGATTAATCAGAATGGACACTTAGAACTTTCAAGAAAAAATTGAAAAAAAACAAAGACATACGAAAGTTTAAAATGAAATTTAATAGTAAAAGATTTTTAAAAAAATTTCTTTGTGTGAGGCAGGACCCTTAAAAAGGTATGTTATTCAAACTTTAAATTTTAAACTGGCAAAATTTATTGAATATAAAAGCTTAATATACAAGACACATGTGCAAAAGTTATTGTTAATAAAATTAAATTATGAACAAAAAGTACATCCATGCAAGCCACACAAGTACCAGTTTTATTCCAAACATTAACTTACATATAAATACATGAACAATCGATTTCAGAAAAAAACCAGTTTAATTTTGAGGCATTTCATCTCGGTTGAGCAATGTACAACATATCAACTGATTTTCTAACGGCTGCTCTTCTTGTCCTTCAACATGGCTCCAATATGGCATTCGATAGCACTTGCCCTTAACGTTATTTAAAGTTACAGCTTCAACTACATTTGACAAATCCAAACAATGATGTACACCAACAACATCTGATGTGACTCCAATATGGTAGAGTGATTCTTTTCTTTGGAATGCTTCAAAAATGAAGAAAATTTCTTCTCCTACTTTTAAAATGTTCCTTACTATCCCTATTCTTGTATCTCGAAGAATGCAACAGCTGTCACGCAAATTCGTAGCAAATGTGAGTTCCCCAATTTTGCAACTTTTGAAATTGTTCACATATGTTAAGGGGAATATTTTCAGGAACCGGTCCTTCTGTATGAGATAATGATGCACGTATTTGTCTGTCGTGAACAGGAGGCGTAAGATTGAAGTCATTTAATTCTTTCGTTCTTTTGTAATACTGTTGCAGAATAAGGTATGGTTTACGAATCATTTTACGAAATTCTGGCATATTGTTTTCGTAATCAAAGGCGCTAAATGACTCTAAGTCTCCGAGATTTTCTACATCTGTTACAATATGAAGTAAACCATGCACATTATACGACAAGTAGTGCAATCCATAAATTTCTTCACACAAAGTGACGTAAGTTTCCAAAGATTCCTTACAAAACAATAGAGTTTCTGGAGATGTTTCTTTCGAAACTAGAAAGCGACAAACAACGTGCAACAATAGGAAATGTTGATAAGAATCATCTTCGAAGACGTTTTCGAATATAGCTGGAGCCGTATACAGAGCTATTTGACGATATTCTGTGGCTTTGAAAGTATGAAAAGCACTCATTTTCTTTGGTCGACGGTTGAAATCAGTAGGACAGTACATCGAAAGCTGTTCCATTCGGGAGTCAACAATTGCCAACTTTCTGGCAGACATTCTTCGAACATTAAATTTTCCAACTACGTTTGCCGAAATTTCTTTCTTCACATTTCCCAGCCACAAAAGATGCATTGCTTCAAATGGTACTTGTCTTACTAAATCCAATAAATCAACTAGGGGGGTTGCTCCCAAATGATGGTCTTCGTCTGTCAAGTTGCGATAACTTGCATCGGTACGTAATTCATTTCCTATTCCATGGAAAACCTCTCGATTCATGTAATGGTGACCTTCAACTATGCATTTAGAGCAAGGTTTGCTTGAATTATGCCCATTATGATTTAAAGTAAGAGCCCTTGCTGGTGCATCTGCGATGAAGCAATGTATTGTCAAAAAAATCCTTCTGCCTTGAATGATAATGCCAGTGTCACGTACAGAAATGACTTCTTCAACAAATTGTTCAAAAAATTCAAATATGTTTAATGGCTTATTGTCTCCAAGGAAAATGCCAGCTATTAATGGTCTTTTATCTCCGATATTTAGTATTCTATACTGAATTGGCCAAAATTGTTTCGAACTTTTATTGACTTTAGCCCCATCAGTACTAAAGTCTATTACAATTATTTCAGGTAGTATATCTACAGGAATTTGATTTAGTTTTTTTTTTAAAGTCAATTTGAAGCCAACGTGTAAATATTCGCCTCCTGTCATACGTTGAATTACTCCATTGGCAATAGTAGTTGGAGTGCGTAAAATTGTTCTAGCATCTTTAGGCAGAAACTGTAAATCGAACGGGAATCCTCTTAAAGTTTGGAGCATTTGATTAATTTGGGTATGCTTCAAATTGCTTTGTAGAAAAGCATTCTTGAGAGACTATTTCATGGCATCATTTACGTGCACAGGTGGTGGTGGTGGTGGTGGATTGGCAACATCATTCTCTTCAGAACTTGTTTCTCTGTTATCCATAGGTTCTAGCAAAAATTCTTCCTCCTCCTCCTCCTCTTCTTCATCTTCTTCTTCTTCTCTTCCTTCATCATCACTACTTCCTTGACCAGAAGAAATTCCTTCTTCATCAGACATTTCTATGTTTTGTGTTTCGTTATTTTCATAGGAACCAGTCGCTTGAACTTGAAATGATTCATTATTTTCATCCTGATGATCTTCTATGCTAGCTCTCGTTATATCTAAACGTCTTCTCTTTTGACTTTGGCTGAGAGCCATAAATTCTTTGTTTTTGTTTTTATTCATGGTGCCTCTTATCCTTTGGTCAAGTGAGGTTGGTATTCTAAGAAAAATAAAGCATTGACATTACGCAAGTATTTTGGGAATGAAAGCTACGTGAACTCAATGTACTACTAAAACTATATGTAAGGGTGCCTTGACAATTCTTGTCAATTCGGGCTCGGGTCGGGTTCGGGTTCACAAGCTCGAAATTTTTCGGGTACCCGAATGCGTTCGGGTTCTCGTAATTTTCGGGTATCCGAAAATTCCGGGTACCCGAGTGAATTCGGGTTTCTTGGAGGGGGGGGATAGAAAAAAGTGCAAAATAGCGTGACGTAGTTTATGAACGACCCCTTACCTGAAATTTTCGAGAACCCGAAAGCGTTCGGGTACCTGATACATCGAGAAAGCCCAACCCGACCCGAAAAAAATCAGCCTGAGCCTACCCAACTTTTCGGGCTTTTTGCACACCCTAGTTATATCTATTTGTTTCAAGAAAAAACAGAATGATATTTGAACATTTTTTTTCATTTTAATAATTTGTTTTTAAAAAACGGAATATTTTATTTAAAGATACATAATTTGCAGTGAATTAAAAGAATTTTGTAGTCAGAAAATATATTAAAGCATTTTAATAGTACCAGTTTTTTGAAAAGGTCGATTTTTTGAGGTGTTTTGTAGTGGACAAGATTTCTCAAAATTAGCTTTAACGATCGGTTTCAAATTTACAGGGCTTATTTCACATATAAGTTTGACATATAGTTCGTGAACGATGGATTTTTTATTTAGATAAAAACTTTTACTTCTAATAATGGAAAAGCAAAATTTTAACGTCGTAGAACGTTATTTTTTCAAATAAACTGCTGCCATTTTGTTAAAAATTTAAACTTCAAAAAATCTTTCGTTTAAGAACTACTTAGTCATTCATATGTAGAGTAAGCCCTGTACATTTGAGACCGATCGGAAAAATCGTTTTTGAGAAATCTCGTCCATCGCAAAGCACTACTGAAATGTTTTGAAATATTTTGTTACTACAAAATTCTTTCAAGTCACTTCAATGTATGAATTTTCAATAATAAAACATTCTTTTCTTAAGAGAAATAATTATTAAAATAAAAAAAAAAGTTAAATATCGCTCCGTTTTTTCTTGTAATTTTTTGCTTTCTTTTTCTTAAATGTGATACTTTAAAGATTCTTTATAAATACCTATATAGGATTCTATACAGATATTTTGTATCTTTTCTGCACAAAAACCTTGTAGGATCAATTATAGATATATGTGCAAAAAGATGTAGTACTGGGATGTGGAATATTGAAATAAATTGACAAAATGCTACTTTCTATGACAACTTAATTTTTTTACTTAACGGCACCTTCTCTTTGTTAACAAAAAATATTACTTTTTTCTTACACGTTTTCAGTAGATAATTTACAAACTAAACTATTATAGTATCTACTGTTTTCGGTGAAGCGAATTTCCAGTTATTTTTCGCTTACCTTAACGTTAGTAATATTATCATTTTAATTAATATTATTAGCAGCATCTGATTTTTAGGTCAGGTGACTGTCATAATTTATCGATCATTTTTCTCACAAATAGATTGAGCTGAAATTTTGTGAAGTCTAAAATAATATGAAGAAGAGCTGCGATTGATGAAAGTGTTGATATTTTTATAAATGAATTATTATAAAATACTTGGTTCAAGTACTTTGTGCTAATTAATTCGTCAAAATAAAACACTTTTACATATCACTGTCTTTATTATATTTTAGATTTGTGTACAAAACTTCAGTTCAATCCATTTAGTATTTTACGAGAAATTCTTTAAAATTAAAAAATCGACTATTATTTAAAGTTTATATTTTTGAACTTGTTTGCAAAGTGAAATTCTTAGCTAATTCATGGTTTCTTAGGTTAATTGAATTCACGGCTATTTACCAGTTTTCCAGCTGGCAAACACCACTATTATTTGGTCAATTTAGATTCATTCGAATGGTTTTATAAGCCATATAACATAATAGTTTTAATAGGGGGTTAATTGAAAAAAAATGATTTAAATGTAACCAAGTCTTCAAATTGAAATGTTTTTTTAAATTGCTTTGGATTGAGAATTACTTTTAATTGGCTCGTGAACAAATTTCTGAATGTTTCAGGGTAATAATTGAGACCATAGATTGAAAACTAAGTTTTCACTTTTAAATCTATTAAAAATTATAATAAAGTTATAAAATTTAAGACAAAGAGATGCATAACATTTTATGTAAAAACTGTAATTAAAAAATTAACATGTTCAATTAAATTGAGGATTTAAAAAAAAATCAAGAATAGAGTTATAAAACTGCGAAAAAAATTATATTTTGGAAAAAGTTATCAACTAATTGAAAAGTATTGAGAGAAATAATTAAATAAATTTATATGTTAGAAAAAATTTTGAAATCTTCAACTTCTAAAAATTCTAATAAGAAATCTAACAGAAAAATAAATTTTTTAAAACATTAAAAATTAAATTTTTCATTTATATCCTGTTTTATAATTTAAAGAATCAATAAATAAATCGCTGCGCCTAATATCGCCAATTTATGTACGAAATTTAAGTGTAGAGGATAGAACAATCAACCAATTTTGTTTTGTACAAATAGTAAAAAATTATGTTTTGTACATGAAGTAACCAGAAAAAAATAACAAATTATTTCAGCCATTACAAGAAACATGTTTTGCGTTAGTTTTCATTTCTAAAAAATTATTTATTTAGGTTGCGTCTCCAATGGGTGAAAAAAATGTATAAAAGAAAGAAACTTCTCAAGACCAAACACTGTTTAAAAAATAATGTAAACTTAATTGTTTAAAAATCTTTTTTGTTTTCTTACATTTTACCGATATTTTTTATTGTGCATTTTTTATAATAAGATTCGCCGCGCCTATTTCGCATGTTTGTGAGCGAAATAAAAGTTATAATTTATTTACCTGTCACGAAAAACAATAT